CCTTTGAAAAGCAGACAGACCTGGGCAAGGCCCTGCAGAGGGGCAATGAGACTGCAGTATTCAATCTGGATGTCAGGAAGGTCTCCTACTCGGTAACTTCTGTACAAAGTAACCTGGGCATCATGCTTCATCTTCAGCTCAGATTTTATCTCCTGAAACGCATTGCTCATGTTAAAAAAATAATAATCATATTACTTAGAGATGTATCTAGAGAAGACAAAATAAAGAGCATTTCTGAAGTGTTTTATAAACTTTTGCTATGCTTATTAAACAAATATATTTTCTATAAAGCTGTAATACGGTTAACCCCCAAATTATCCTAGCAAATTAAAAACTCCGAAGTCTTGTTCCTAGACTTACTTCATCCATTACTTTTAATGCCTTGTTGTTTCAGGCTCTGGAATGGGCTGCCCAGAGAGGTGGTAGAGTCCTCATCTCTGGAGGTATTTAAAAGGATAGATGAGGTGCTTAGGGACATGGTTTAGTGGTGGGATGGCAGGGTTAGGTTAAAGGTTGGACTCGATGATCTCAAAGGTCTTTTCCAACCAAAGTGATTCTATGATTCTATGATTCTGCTTCCATACAGGTAGCATTTAGGTCACTTTTAAAGAGAACGATTGCGACTGACAGCTGGTGAGTTGCTATGGTTTATTAAGTTACTGCCTGTCAGCTGAGCGATAGTAGTCCATTACATGATGGTTTTCAGCCTGGCCCTGGCAAAGTAAAATGAGGTTGCTAAAGCAGGTGTGGTTTATTTCACACAGTGGGATGGGGAGGGGAAGGAAGAAGGATGAACCCAGTAGAACCAATTCCTGGGTTTCCTACCAAACCATAATAAAACTGTTGTAAACTGCAGTTGTTAAACACCTGCCCTGCCTTTTGCTGAGGCTTAAAGGAATACATTTAAATTGAACAAGAGCTACTACCAAACACAGACAAAACCTATGTCTTCCTCTGCCTTTCTTCCTTTTCATAGCACTGATATGCTATAAGGAAATCAGCAGTTAAGTTCAGAGGCTGGGATTTTATTTTTAACTACTGTCATTACCAGTTAAAATAGCAGATAATAGGTGGATATATACATTGGTAGAATGGAAGAGGCAAAGAAAAGAAAGCTTGAAGATTTTTTTTTTCTTTTTTGTAAACTCTTCATAATTTTGCTGTTTGAGCACATTTTTCTTCAAAAGGGATGATTTTCAAAAAGCTTTCAAGAGAAATACGCTGGGAGAAATTAGGACTTCGGTAAAGCTATTTCAGCATTCATAGTCTCCCCCGGTCTTTCATTGTGGAATAGTATCACAGGGGGGTTTGTTGGTTGTATTTTGGACTGTCATACAGAACGCATTTACAAGTTCTCTCTTGCAGGGTGGGAGGAAATGGTAGCTTTAGCCTGCAAGTAAATTGGCTAAAATAGGTGTTTGTGTGGTTCTTCCAGACATAAGTTCTGTTTACACACTTGTCTGCAGCTGCAAAGAATTATAAGGGTGTCTCAAACTGGCAGCTCTCAGTCCTGGGTTCCTTGGCTCTTGGTCTAACTGCTATCACATTTGGATGACAATGTATGTTATTTTTAGTAACATGTACCTCTGAAAAACTGTTACAGAGCTTAAAAATACTTAAACTTATTGTAAGCACATAACACAACTGGGAAACCCACATAATACTAAGTTTCCTTGATAAATACTCTGCAAATGATTATTACTGACATTCCTCCAGGTTAAAAGTACACAACAGTTTTGATTAGTCCATCAGCTGTATCACATTTTTGAGTTCACCTTGAGACACTGGATAATGTTCTCCAACTATTTCTGCAGAGTACTGTAGCCTCAAGGCTCCTAGTTTCCAGGATGACAACTGTAAAGAACCTCCCATAGCTGTTAGGGTCTCCATCACATAAAATCACTTCATACAGACTAAGTGATAGACCGGAAGTGTTATCATCCAGTTCTTTTCTTGCTCATGCTAAATAACACCATTTAGCTTTAAGCACATAAATAGCATGATTTCCAAACAGAAGTTTCTAAATCTCTTTAAGTAGCAACTGGAACCCTAAACCTACCCCTTCTTCACAAAGTTACTTCTGGAGATGAAGTACAAGACTGCAAACAGCATTGGGACTTAAGGTTTTAAACTTATTTGGATTGACAAACCTTTTCTCTTTTCTGTTCAGCCACACCTTTTCTAGCATAAATCAAACTGAGTTTTTCTTGGTCCTTCAAGAAACGCCTCCGCAGTCTTAGAATTTCTGCTCGTTCTTCTATACCTAGGGAACACATGATCATGTCCACAGCCTTTTCTTTCTCAAGCAAACTTCAGATTTAAGGCAAGAGCAGCATATAATAACATTATCTTTGTATTCACTATCTCACCAGCTAGTCTCCTGAGTTTCATATCTAACAACTCAACGCAACGCCTTTCAACAAGATAGCAAATGAAAACAATGTTAAGTTGTTCTTAGGAGAAGAGGTAATAAGCATTTATATAAAAACTTTAAGCACATGGATAAGGGTCAAACTATTGTACTGGGAAAGGCACTAGAATTCATGAAGAAATTTGCCCCATATGACAGATTTATTTTAAGCTCTCAAAGGCAAGTACAGAAGTTGCATCATATTCCATAAAGTATATAGCTCTCTACATAAAAGAGGTTCTAAATATATTCAAAGACTGGGCAATAATAATAATATAGTATTTCATTTTTAAAGTTATTACTACAAAATGTCACAGGATCAACTCCTGCTCAGGACAGTCATGGAGAAAGGTCACTTTACAGACTGTTCAGTCTTCCCAGGAAAGAAGAGTGAGCGAACAAAACCATACCACTGTAACTGGTGTTTTTCTGGTAGAAAACCAGGGACTGATGGGAAGGTAGACTGAACTCTCTCTGTAGCTCAGCATGGCCCATTCAAAACTGCCCTGAAATACCTCCCAGGTATTGAAAAGGTCAATCTTTATAGCTCTCTGCCTGAACTCCTACTCTTACCCTTCCAGTCAAAATTTTAATGACAAGGTAGGCGAGGGTGAAATGTAGAGAAAATGGGGACAAGGAGCCTAAGCCATTCCAGAGCAGTACTGGTATTTTTCAGTTATCGACTGGGTGGATGAAGGAGCTTTCTCAGAAAATAACAGGTAGTTCTAATGCCAGACTGCAATCTGTTGCAGATCATGTCAGCACAGCTGAAACGGTTTGGAAAAAATGTTTAGAGATCTCTTCTTTAAAGTGATAAGCAGTTAAATTTAAAACAGAAGGGACAGAACTGCCTGACGATCATGCTACAATCACCTTAGGGAGAGGTAGGAATGCAGAGATCACACTGTCTGGTTTCTTATCCAGTCAGTTCTTTCATCTAGCAACATGTAGTTTTGCAATTCCTAGCACAATTCTAGCTTTTTGCCACCCGTTATATATTACCACGCATTCCTGGGAACAAAATCTTTCAATCTGAACCTCAATTAAAACATCTCAAAGGTAATGGACTGCCAGCCAAATAACTGACAAAGATGGTCTATAAAAAGGTAGTATTTATACAGAAATTGCATCATAAGGCTTACAGACCTTTAGTTTTGCTGTCCACAACATCTTCAGGCAAACTCAACCTTTTTTTCCCAAAATCCGGCCCCACTGGTTTAAAGGTTGCTTGTTTAAATTTTTCACTCCGTTTGTTAACTAACAGCATGGATGAAGACAAGGATTCAGAGGATGAAGGAACTGTATACTCTGCCAATGTGTCAATGCTGCTTCCAGTTAGCCAATTAAATGAACTTCTACCACCTGTAAAAAAAATTGTAAAAAAAGCTGTAACGCATCTGAATATAAAACAGGGGAAAACATCTATGAAGCAGGTCATTTTTCTCCCCCAAAAAATATAATTCCCAGTGTTTATGGGTAGAACAGATTTCAAGCTGTTAGGTGAGAAACAAACTTCTTTTGTATGAGGCAGAACATAAAATATTTATGAGATTAATAAAAATGAGACCAGACATTTTTTTCCTCATAATGCAAAAAAAGCCCTTCAAAACAAAATATTAAACGCACTGACATTTTTACATTAAAAATTCATAAGCAACAGGAAGATAACAATATCATTCCTATAGCTAACAAGAAAATTTCAGAAGACACTTGTCTGGACTTACTGACATGCTGTGTAGGTGTAAATTCATACTGCCGTTGGGTAGCCCTCACTCGACCACTGACTGACCCAGAAGCAGAAAGGGATCTTTCTTGTGATAAATTCCTGTGGATACTCTGAGAAGCTTGAGTCTCCACAAACATAGGCGTCAGCACAGTACTTTGGTAACGCCAGCTGGAGTCAATTACAAAGTCCTAGGAACACAAAAAGATTTTAATAAGAACAGTTAAGAACAAAGGCTTTTTGCCTTCCTTAAGACAGGATAGCAGAAATAAAGTACAGAATTTAAAACATCAACCTGGGTACAGGGGCAGAACTTGACTATAAAAAACACAAACACATAAAAGTTCTCTATAGTTCAGCAAAAAACTCACTCATTTGGACCGGTCAGCTGAGAACCGATTTACAGCTATTGTACTAGCATTCCTGTTTCTTCACAATTATGGTGCTTCTCTCCATTACCCTCTTTTTTAAGTATTTCATACACATCAGCTATACTTGGTATATACAATTATTTTAATTAAATCTTTTTTTTTTTTTTTTTTTTTTTTTTTTTTTTAAAGAAAGCAAAATTATCATCCCCACAAAATCAAACTTCTGATACTGAGCATAACCCATGATGGCTGCAGCTCTTAACTATGGCGTAAAAAACACACTTTCAAAAATCTCCTTCACTATGCCATTATTCTTGTCCAAGTGGTAACTACATTAAGGAATGGAATTTGTCACATGGTTGCACACAGGATAACACATTACAATTCACCTGAAATTTGCATTCAGACAGTGGATGCTCAAATATTTTTCTGGAATAATCTGGGCTCTTGCTAGTCATTTCAAGCAGAAAATTCGTGATTAGACTCAAGTACTGTGTTTCAATCTTGGTGGAATATAAAGAATTTAACAATGCCAGCATGCGATCAGGAATATTTCCAGGTAACCTCGTCTCATCACTCCAAAAATTCCTAACAATTAATCTGTAAAGGCAAGGAATATAATTATTCCTGGTTATCTGCAAACAGAAAACATAACGGCATCAAAAAAGTCAATTTAAAAAAAAACCACAATAAGATTATAGCACCTTCAACTAATCCTTTCATGCTATGGATCTTCCATTGAATTACACCAAATTCCTCATTCATTTACCATGCTCTATGCCATTCAACTGATATTAGAGGTTTACTCTGAAAAAAATATTTCTATTAAGTTGTCTTCCTCTTGAGAAGTGCTAGGGATGGATAAGCACAGAGATCTCCTATCTTCTGCTTCACAAAAAAAACATCCTCCAACACTGAATCTATTTTTCTGTGTCTCTGTATAGTGAGGGCCACCTTGTTGCTAAAAAACCCTAGAACATTAATGCAGAACAAGGTCTAATGTACTGAAACAAATTCTCCATCGCTCAGAAGTTTGTTCGAAAGCTCTGTGCTTCATTTAAATTTGGTGTAATGCTATGGGACACAACTTTGCAAATTAACTTACTGGAAGAAAAGGAAATAATGTTATCTCACTGATACTCTTTGATATTGAAATACTTAAAAACCCTCTAAAGATCAACTCTTCTGTGATAAACAGAGCAATTTAGGGATTCATTACTTCAGTCAGTCATCACAACGCTGTTTACTCACTGCAGTTCGGCATTCTCATCAATCAGTCCTTGAAGCAGGATTTCTTTTGCCAGTTTGAATATTTCCTGAGAATCACCATCTGCTTGGCTTTCTGGATCACTGATGTTAGGAGAAAAATGTCTCTTAATGACTTCTCTCAAAAGTAAGAGGATGAGAATGGTGGGAGAAAAGGAGGAACATGCTCTGCTCATAGAAATCTCAACTTGGTGTAACAACACTGCGTTTTTTTCATACTATAAGGTCTTCATTGTAAAAAATGTCTTGTCTCTCCACTACTTAGAAAAGTAAAAATCAGAAAGCTAAATAATGCCTGTTAAGTAATTATTATAAAGGCCAAACAAAGTAACGCTGAGTTTGCAAGGTTAAAACTGAGAAAAAGGCAGAGAATTAGCTTTTCCCAAGTGACACTGGAGTAAAAATTGCCTGTACTTTTTCTTCACAATAATTATCCATTCAAACAGTTAAGTTACCTTGGGAAAAAGTATATATTACAACCCAACTAAGTTAAATGATTCAACAGCAACCTGCTTGTCAAACCAAGTACATGCCTGTTGCCTAAGGGGTCAAACAGAAAGAACATCTTTATCCTCCCAGATTGAAGGGATCCAGATCATGCCAAAGTGCCTTAATACACTTCCTACCTAGAAGTATGTTTCTCTAGCGTACAATTCTTACCAGTTACAAATTATGGCAACAAGAAAAAAAGTGGAAGCATCAGAGCTAAGACCTCTTATGCCATGATGCTGTGGTGATACAACATCCTAGTTCTGGGGTAAAGTTCAGGTCTAAGCCTTTGTCTCTTAGTGGAAGTGATAAAATTGCCACTAAAGGCCAGAGCTACTTAGGCAAACCACAGGCACTCTTCTTCTGAGAACTGGGAAAATCCTGCACTGAGGGACATGAAGTTGGAAGACAGTGTTACAAGCACTTTGACCCTACCTGTGACAAACCACTGAAAGACAACATCTGCAGTGAATACACACCTGTAATTATCATAAATCCACATCAGAATATCATACATGCGCTGTCGACATATTACAGAAGGGTGAGAAATGAACCCTGTCACTCCAGGAAGAAGTTCTTTAAGTTCTAGTGGTTTTAGTTTAGACAGCATCTTGTACACTATATCCAAACAAACCCTTTGCCTGTCATCATCCCTAAAAAGAGAGGGGGGAAGAAAGAAGGAAAAAAAAGAAAAAAAAAAACAAACCAATAGTTACATTGCTTTTCTTTTCACTGCTACACACAGAACCAGAAGATCAGTTTAGGTTTTAGCAATATTTGTTTTTGCATAAAGGGCTTTAAGTAAATACTTTTGAGTTCAACCTAAGAGTAAGAATATAACTGAACTAATACATACTACGGAAATTCCCATCCCAGTGGTGTTTCACCTTACCACTCTTCAGGGTTTTTTGTTTGTTTTTCACAGTCAGCCAACCATCTTAATACTGAACTCCCAGATTCTATTAGCTCAAATTACGAGAGCAGTGACCAAAAAGTGAACATGAATTATGCTTCTGAGCATAAAAATGTTGTGGCCAGCACAGAAAATGTTGTCAAGAAGTTCAGACTATGCATCCACATTTGTATTCACATGACCACTCACCTGTGATTCATGATCTGGATAAAGTCTTTACTCTTTAACTGCAAATGGAGATCAGGTATTTCTTCTGCCTGGCACATTATGACTTCCAGACAGTAGGTTTTCATCACACCGTGAAGTTTGGGTATCAAAAAGAATACTGCATTCATAAACCTTAATATAACCACAAGCCCACAAAGAAAAGAAAGTTATTTTCTGTTATTCCTCTAGATCTACAATGAACATACCATGTAAATCACGACATACCTGTCAGCAAGAGGTGGAAAATTCTTAACAACTTTATTCAAGCATTGAATAAACTTATCTTGTTGGGTGTTCTGATGATGTTTTAATTGTCTTATGACACAATCATAAACTGGATGTTCAAGTACCTGAAAGTGAGAAAGACAGTAAGACAAGTATAGCCATGAAACTCATAACCACCTTAATGACGCATAGTTCTGCTGCTGTACTGTTTGATTCTAGAGCATTTTGCTAGGTATGATCCACCCACCTCATCTTGACATTTATGGTGCTTCATGGCTACTGTACAGCTACGTCTGGCTGAAACATGATTGCCTGCTTAAACAATACATCTGTGAACTTCCTTTGATTGGTTTGGAACCAACACCTGAATTTTGAAATACAAGCTGCTTAGTATGCTTACATAAATAATAAGTAGCTTCTCATTCAGTATGGCAGATTTCCAATTAATGAATGTAAAAAAATAGAGATTTTTAGTGAAAATGGGAAAAATAATCAGCAAGCTTCACTTAATGTCAAAGAAATAAGCTTTGTATAGGACAAAATACTTGCACCATCTTTACTCACTTATTCAAAATACTGCTTATAATGGAACTCAGAAGACTGTGAAAGAGAAGACTATGGGAATTCAATTTATGAAATATGCTC